GTTTTCAAAAGGAATACGAGATCTCAATAGAAAAAAACAAAGCAAACATAGAAGGATTCTGAGAAATAACCCATACCTAGTAGTCACTGAGAGAGGCGAAACCCTAAGAGTCCCAGAGAGAAGCTTTGAGAAGAAGGGTATCTTTTGTGCTTCACGAAAAGAGTACAAACTAAAAGAAGGATTTTATTTTTTATTTCAAAGCATCGTCCAAATAAAATTTCAAATGTCGGTAATCCTTTGTGACAGTTTGATAAAGATCATAGAATTTATTTCGTTATCAATAAAGCCCCTCAAGAAATTGTCTTAATGCCTTAACTATTTTCTTAATTTCCTTAAACATTACATAAATGTATTGTAATAACAAATGAATGGTTTTGAAGAGAACACAAACGTTTCCATCCATTATTATTGAGAAATTTTAAGAAATACCACTTTTCAAAAATGCCACATTTTTAAAATCTTTGCAAAAATACCACTTTTTCAAAATTATTTTTCATTACATCATTTATGTTTGGGTTAACTATATTGTATTAGAGTTTAGTTTTGGGGGTTTAAGGAGTTTTAGGGGTCAAACCATTTTTTAGGGCTTATAATTTAAAGATTTAGGCTTTAATAATCCATAATTAGTGGCATTTTTGCAAATGGACACCCCTAAGTGGCATTTTTGCAAATATACACACCAAAAGTGGCATTTTTGCAACTCCCCATTATTAATTTGCAATGCTACAATGTTAATACTTTTTTTTTTTTTTTTCTAAACAACAATGTTAATATTTTACCTACTTCTAATTCATCAAATATGATTTTTATTTGATTTTACTCATGTCATCGTGGGTTTTTACAAGCTTATTTTCTTTACATGGTCATCAAATCAAACACGAAGGTTATATATGATTTTGGGTTTTAGATTATTATTTAGCACGTTAAACATGGGGATTTTGATATATAAAATTAATGAATGCATTGTAAGAAAAGCTATAACCAAATAATTCTGTAAAAATTGGTTTGCTACTAACAAGGTAACAAGAAACATCTCACATCTCTATGAATTGTCGGTTTCTAGCTCATTGAAAGAGTTCGATTTAAAAGTTAACAAATTATGAAAAATTGACCCTCGATCGTTGATATCAAATTACCCACGGTCAAAGTGCAAGATGTGAGAGAGTTGGTAATGAAACAAGTCATATTTTCAATTTTTTTTATTGATATCCTTAAGAAATGCCAACTACAATATCATATTTGATTTAAGTTCCAATGAAATCCAATTTATGGGTTTTAAATGATAATAAAAACGTAGGAAGAAATAATACTATTAATTTAGTTTTTTTTTTTTTTTGAAACTTTAGTATTAATTTAGTTGGAAGCCAATACGAAAGTACACAAGTGCCACGCAGGCACGTTTCGTCGCCAGCGGTCTCAAATGTGCCATAATAGTAGTAGTATGAAGGTATTGTTACATTACTTTAAACGGAAGTAATCTTTATTGATATAGACTATAGTTATGCGAAATATGCGGAGACGAGGAGAAGAATCGAGCCTTTTGG